GTATATAATTTATTGTGATGTTGCTGAATTCTATTGGTTAATATTTTGAGAAGATTGTTGTTGTTTTGTTTGGTGCTGGGTTTTGAACTCAGGGCCCCATGTAAGCTAAGTGCATTTTCTACCACTGAGTATGCACTCAAGGATTTTAAAATTTATATTTATGGAAGAGATTAGTCATAGTTTTCTTTCCTTTTGCATTGTCTGCTTTTAGTGTCAAGATAGCAGCTTCATAACATAGATTGAGAAGTGTTCTTTTCTCTTTTATTTTTTGGAAGAGATTGTGTACAATTAATGTTAATTCTTAAACATTTGGTATAGTTCTCCAGTAAAATTATTGAGACCTGGTTTGAGAGTTTTTAAATTACAGATTTTGTTTCCTTAGTAGTTACTTTGTTATTCTGTCTTAGTTACTTTTCTTGCTGAGACAAAATACCCAACAACCAAAGTTAAAGGAGGAAAGGTTATTTCAGCTCACAGTTTATAGAGGCCTCAGTCCATAATCATTGGCTTCAAGGCAAGGTGGCATGGCAGAGGGGCATTACAGAGCAGCCAGCAGCAGGCAAGCAGCAAATAAAGCCTGCCTTTATATTTCATACAGCCTGCCTGCCCTTTGGGAAGTGTCACTCAAACCCAGGGTGGGGCATCCTTAATCTCAGCATCATACCCTTAATTCCAGCATCACACATTTAATTCCAGCATCACACACCCTAGATCTGAGGCTTTGGGTTGATATCTAGATACAAGCCATGACATATCTAAACTATCCATTTCATATTAAGTGAGTTGTGGTAGTTTGTAGCTTTTGAAGAATTGGTCTATTTTGTCTAAGTTGTCAAATTATATGTACAAATTTGTCTATAGAATTCCCTTGATATGAAATTCTTTGCCACTTATCTAAATCTCCCTGCAAGATATTCAGAAACATTACATATATTATCAATTTTTTATTTCCTTGATCAATTCTCTCAGCCATCTAATTGCTCCAATTGGACTGCAGTTCCCCCATCCAGCAACTCAGGATCTTGCTTAACTTTCCTCCTGTTTCCTAGAAACTGCTTCTACTTTCTTTTTTAGGGCTGTAACTTTCCATGATGTCTCTATTAGTTTGGAGATGTAGCTCAGTGGTAGTGTGCTTGCTTAGAATGCACAAGGCTCTGGGTTAATTCCCCAGCTGTCTTAAGTCACTTTCCTTGTGGCTGAGTCAAAAATACCAGCACCTGCAATTTATAGGAGGAGAGGTTTATTTTGTCTCACAGTTAAGAAGTTTTAGTCCATGTTCTGCAGTTTAAACACAGAAATGGCATGGCAGAAAGGTATGGGTGAAGGAAACCTGCTTATGTCATGGTAGTCAGGAAGCAGAGATCAAAGGGAGGACCCAGGGAAGGAGACCTGCCCTTCAAAGTCATGCCCCCAGTGACCTGCTTCTAACTAGGCCCTACCTCCTAATAGCAAATCAGCTGTAGTGCCCTCATGATCCAACCATTTTCCAAAAGCCCCACCTATGAGAACATAAGGCTCTTGGAGGACATCTAGACAGAAACCATAACACCAGTGTCAAAAAAAATGTTTTTTATTGTACACTAGTATTTCTATTGATAATTTGACTATCAATTCAAAGTTGGAAATCATTTTCCTTCAGAATTTTCAAAGTGTTGTTATATTGCCTTCGTGTTTCTGGTGTTACTGCTGTGAAATCTGAAGCTATTTGATTGGCTGTACATGACCTATATTTTTCTCTCTTGAAATTTTTAGGATCTTCCTTTTGTCTCCAGTTTCTGAAATCTCGTAATAATGATCACTGGTATGCACCTATTTTCATAGATTCTGCTGAGAATATGGTGAATTTTTTCACTATGTGACATAAATTCATGTCCTTCCATTCTGCAGCATATTTCCTACATTATTTCTTCAATAATAAATTTCTTTAAAAACCCTTTTTCTGGCATCCCTTTTAAAAATGTACAGTATTTGTTCCTTTTTTTTTTTTCTTTTGGTACTGGGGATCAAACTCAGGTCCTTCCACTTGCGAGGCAGGAAGTGGAACCACTGAGCTAAATCCTCGGCCCAATGTACAGTATTTGTAACAGGAGGAAGCTTTCAGAAATCTTTTGCATAAAATAGTAATTTGATATTCACATTATCCCTGTATTTGTATTGAAAAGACACATAAAAGTTATCCAATTTTGCTAAGTTTTGTTTAGATTAATACGAATTTCATGCTATTTTGAAGGAGAGATTCTAGCCATCAGATAATGGACAGTATAATTTTTCAAATATAATTGCAGGTGACCCTTGTCAATCCCTCCCCCTGCCCCTCGGTACTGAGGATTGAATCCAGAGCCTTCACGCTGAACTACATCCCCAGCCTTGTTTCATTTTACATTATGAGACAGGGTCTCACTGAGTTGCCTGGACTAGGCACAAACTTGCAGTCCTCCTGCCTTGACCTCGAATGGTGAGATTACAACAGTCACATGCCACAATGGATTCATTGATGATGAGTGTGTTATTCTTTATTTTGTTGGGAATTCAACTGAGAAATGTCCTAAAATAAGTCAGCTACATACTTATTTTGGAAATTCAGCTCAGATCTCCTGTAGAAATTAAGGGCTTTGTGCTGGGGATTTAGCTCAGTGGTTCTGCCTCCTGCCCAAAAAGCACAAGGTCTCGAGTTAGATCCCTGGTACCAAAAAACACCAAAAATCAAGAAACAAAGAAAGAAATGAAGGGCTTATTCCTCCACCCCAGGGAATACTACTACCAGAAAACACTGTTTCATCCACTACTGAGACTGGCTTGGCCGAAGAGAGAACTGTCACCCAAGGTCATGTCCTTTTCCTGGGACAGTCACATCTTATGTTCATCAGTGAACAAAGGCTGGCTTTCTTGGGGGAAAACTCTGACTAATCCAATCAACTCAATGGTGAAATCAACCTAACCCCACCCCCCCACCCCTTAGAGTTAGCTGACACCTCATCAGACTTCAGGACAGGAGAACTTTCCTTTCTGTCCAGTTATGCTTCTGTCCCTTCCCCTCCACAGGTCTTGATTCTAAGAGTATACTCTAATAGACCTCCTCTCACTAATTTTAGTGTCATCTTGACATTCCCCAGGGTGCTATTATGTTTGATAGTTTACTTCCTCCTTGCTGAGACTATATTCAATACTCACAAGTAAAAGGAGGAAAGGTTTATTTTTGGCTCACAGTGTGTACAGGTTCCAGTCCATAGTCAACTGGTTTCCCGGCAGGGTGCAGAGGGCCATCACAGAGGGGAAACAGCTCATGGCATGGAAGACAGAAGGGAGCAAGCAGCAAGCAAGCAACAGCAAACTTGCCTTCTCTCTCTCCCTTTATATTCCATCCAGGATATAAACCTATTGATTGGTGTCATCTACACATGCAGGTGGGTCTTCCATTATCCACACTCGAACTGTGCTAAACCAATTTAGTTATCAAACACCCTTAATCCCAGTATCACAGACTCTAGATCCAGCCACTTCTGAAAAGCCTCACTTAAGAGTACATGAGGATTCACAGGGACATCTAGATACAACCCATAACAGACAATTTGCAGAGTATAAAACTGTGTATTTGAAACTTCTGTATAAAATGTTATTGATTAGTTTATATTATTTAGGCCTCTCTTACTTGCAAGATATTGAAGATTCTTAAAAATAAACCTGAAGCTTCACAGGAGACAACTGTCATTCAGTTCTTTTTTTTTTTTTCAGGTGAAATTTGAGGGTTAAATAAAAAGTGCAAAGTTTTTTTTCTGTTATAATTTGCTAACATTATCCCACTCTTTGTTTAATCATAGCATGTTCATTCTAGGGTTATGTCATAGATAACTGAAATAAAGGATTTAATTCTGACATCTGGAGAACTTAGTAATGGGAATTGTGAGATGGGGAAAATATAGGTAATTTCTGCCACATTAATATTTAAAAACTTTTATTTTTAATGGACATCTAATAGTTATACATATTTATTGGGCTGTATGATTATTTCATTTGCCAAAAGCCTGTAGATAAGAATAGATGGCCTGAGACTCAGAAGGGATGGCAGCCCGCAGGGTAAGGGCATGGGTGCAGAGACAAGTGGTAGTTCAAGTCCAAGTTCTGTCACTTATTTGAGTAAAGACTTTGAGTAAATTATCTAGTCTTCTGGACTATCAGACTCATCTATACAATATGAGCACTATGCGGACAGGGACTATGTCTGTATTGTTTACAGTTGTGTATCCAGTGCTTAATAAACTTGGCATTGAAGCACCCAAAGGAATATCAAATAATTGTTGAAGCAATGTGTTAAGAAAGAAAACAGTAGGCAGGTGTAGTGGCACACATCTGCAATCCCAGCACCTGGGAGGCTGAGGCAGGAAGGTCAATGAGAGTTCAAGGCCAGCCTGGGCTACACAGTAAGTTCAAGGCCAGCCTGAACTATACAGTGAGTTCAAGGCCAGCCTGAACTACATGAAGAGACCCTGTCTCAAAGAAAGAAAGAAAGAAAGAAAGAAAGCAAGCAAGCAAGCAAGCAAACAGTGGAACTGTTATTTTATTAGATATAAATAATTTCACAAGATAGTAACTTCAGGGCTGGGGATTTAGCTCAGTGGTTCCAGCACCGGCCTTGCAAGTTCAAGGTCTGGAGCTCGATCCTCAGTACCAAAAAACCCCCAAAACCAAAAAACAAACAAACAAACAAATAAAGATAGTAACCTCAGACAAGATTACTCTAAAACCATGATAAAGGAAGACAAAGCAAGGCCAACATATAATTTTAGAAAAAAGAAGACAAAAACAAGTTTGCTATGCTACAAATGAATGATTACTACTTTGCCAACTGCAGTTTTATCCTCCTGTTTTACTTCCTACATATAAGGTTTATTGAGATATACAAACATAGAATTTATCTTTCTAACAACATCCAAATCCCTGGTTCCAAGGACCTTACCCTAAATTGTTTGGAATCACATAAAGAAATGCACAGAAACACAGAATTTGGGTAAAATAACAAAGGTCTTTACTTGCTAGCAAGGCAGGACACCAGAAACTGGTCTGGTCAGAGTCCACCCCTGAATTCTTTGTCCATCACCTTTTATACTTTTGTCAGTCATTATCTCATCCCTAGTGGTCTTTGTTAAGTAAATAAAGTTCTAATTCCTGTTTAATGGTTAGACACAGGTGGTTTCTGTCACTGATTACAGCCCTAAACACATGACAATTAAGGCACATATATCACAAGTTTGTTCAAGGACTCCCACTTTGTTCTTCAGAGCTAAGATGTTATCTATAGTGGAGCTACAGATCAAAGGAACTATATAATCTTCACTTGAAATAGCAGAAGCAAAGGGCTAAGGCAAGCTTTTAAAATGATACACTACCTATTTTGCCTCCACAACTACTTGATGGAGCCTGCTGTCACTTGTCGAACAGTACCTGAATGAGGGAGTGAGGATGAAGAAAAATAAAGACAAAGAGATAGAGTCAGGAGGGCTCCCAGAGACCGAGCTGCTTTATTGACTTTACTCCTCTCTTTTATATCCCTCAAGAAGAGCAAACATCTTACATAAGGCACATCTGGAAAACTCCCCAAGCCTTGAGACAGTTTCATGTTTTTACTTTCCCTAGTTCTGTGTTCTTGTGCTATTCTTATCACCTTCTCCTACCCCTCTTTCAGAGCTGGGCAGCAAGTTCTGTAATATTTCACTTAACCCTTTCATAGGAAGTCCAAGTTGTCCATTTTATTACTTATGGAGCTATTGGCTCTCCACAACTACTTTAATAGCTAATCTAATAAATTTACTTTAAAACTTTTCCCTATCATTCCTCCCTTTGTCTACTTCAGGATAAATCTTTTATCCACAATATGTTCCATGTAACTTACCTGTATTTCTCAATACTAGCATTTGATAGTGTTGAGTGGCAGCAATATGCTGTTGTACAAATCTTGAGATCCATTGAATAACACAAGGGCCAAATATTAATACTAATATTATAACAAGAAGGGGACTCAGAAGAGGTCTTATCCAAGTTTTCCATCCTGCCCAAGTAAAATGAATCCCATAGGATGACTCTTCCATACCAAATTCCTCACCAAGAGCCTTGATTTGATCTTTCAGTTTGTCTAGTGATTCTTGTATTACACCAGATTCATTAGCATAATAACAACATTCTTCACCAAGGAATAAGCAAGTCCCTCCTTTCTGGGCTGTTAGCAAATCGAGAGCACACCTTACATCTGAGTCAATGAGCCAGAGTTTTGTTTTTTCTTTACAATATGACTTTTCACTTGAATATCCCCCACAGTCAAAAATTACCCCAGGTCCCCCATAATGCTCCCTTGGGCAAACATCAAAGAATACAGTGAATGGATAGCCCTCTGGTTCCCATTTTACCATTTTGAAAGTTACAAAATGTTCATTAAACTTTTCATCACTAGGCTTAAACACCCACAGTTTGAAAAAACAAAGAAACTCAGAGTAGTAGTAATCTGGCATAGCACAAGAGTCCATGTTGCCTTTCCCAGCACTCCCAATTTTCAGCCATGGATTGACTCACCAGCCTCCAGAGTGGTGAGAGCAGGGCTTTGAGTGCGTTGTCTCTTGGCTTTCAGCATCACCTTTATTGTTACCTTGTGCAATGAAGTTTTTGGATTTCTGATGTCCTGAACAACATATTACTGCGACTTTGTTAGGTTCCCACACTGTCTCTAGCAACTGTACAATTTCCTGTCTATTCTTGACTTGTTTCCACTCTGCTGTGAGAAGACCTCACTCTTGATGAATCATGCATGGAGCAAATGCATAATGAGAGCCTGTATATATTTACCTTTTTACCTTTTGCCCATCTGAGTGCCTGTATGAGTGCCCAGAACTCAGCCCATTGTGCCAACCAGTCAAAAAGAAGGGGCCCTGACTAGGATCACCTCATCCTTTGTGGTTACTGCATATCCAGCATGACGAACCACATCTTCCATGAAGCTGCTCCCATCTGTGAACAGAATGAAGTCAGCATCAGACCAGGATGCCATTTGCAAGTCAGGGCAGCTGGAAAAGAGCGCATCAGTGACACTCAAGCAGTCATGATTGGGAGGGCCTGTCTCTGTGGGCAAAAAGGTAGCAGGATTTAAAGTTTTTACAGGAATAAACTGCAAGCGGGGATTCTCACAGAGAAGGGCTTGATACTGAGTAACCCAATTATTTGAGAGCCAATGAAGCTCCTTTGTGTTTAGCAGTTCTAGGTCCATGTGTGGAACCTGCACAGTCAGTTCCTGACCTAAAGTCAGCTTGTCTGCTTCTTAGATCAACAGAATTAAAGCTGCTAAGGCCCCAAGACAAGGAGGCTGTCCTTTTGTTACTGGATCTAAATTCTTAGACAAATATGCCACCAGTTGATTCCATGGGCCTACTTCTTGGGTCCACACTCCAAGGGCCACATAGTTTTTCTCAGTCACATATACAGCAAAAGGCCACTTTACATCTGGCATGCCTAGGGCTGGGGCAGCTGCCAAAGTTAATTTTAATTTCTTAAAAGCTTCCTCCCATTCTACAGTCCAATGCAGATGACTCTCCTCTTGTCCCTTTAGGGAGTTTAGAGATTTCTGCAAAACCCAGAATCCAAATTTTACAGAAGCCTGCCGCCCCAAGAAACTCTCTCAGCTGTTTCTTTGTTTGGGGTTTAGGGATGTCACTAATAACCTTTCATTTCCTAGGCAACGCATGCCCTGTGTTATTTGAAATCCTAAATATTTAACATGCTGTACACAAATCTGGGCTTTCTTCCATAGTACCTTCTATGAAGTTTTCTTGTAAGTGTAGCAACAACTTTTTGGTGACTTCCCAGCACCGTTCTTGGGCTGGGGTGCATAACAGTAAGTCATCCACATATTGCCATAGGACACAGCTATATTGTTCCACAGGGAAGGCAAGCAAGTCCCTGGCTAGGGCTGCCCCAAAAAGCGTGGGTGAGTTTTTAAATCCCTGTGGCAATCTGGTCCAAGTAAACTGAGTCTTTTTTCCATCACTTGGGTTCTCCCATTCAAATACAAAGATGGGTTGACTAAGGGGAGTGAGCGATGCAAAGGCAAAAGAAGGCATCTCTTAAGTCCAAACAAGTAAACCATGCTGCCTCTGGGGGTATTAGACCCAGCAAAGTATAAGGGTTAGGAGCACTGGGTGCAGTGTTACTGTTCTGTCATTTATAGCCCATAGATCTTGCACTGGCCTATATAGTCCCCATCAGGTTTTCAAACTGGCAGCAAAGGGGTGTTTTAAGGTGACTTACATTCTCTTATAAGTCCAAATTCCTTTAATCTCATGATATGGGGCCTGATTCCAATTTGGGCTTGCCTGGACATCGGATATTATTTTACAGCAATGGGGGCTGAATTGTCTTTTAATTCTATAACTATGGGTGGATGATTCTTAGCTAAGCCTGGGAACAATTCCTCTGCACATACTCCAGGAAACATAGTTTTTAATTCTTGTGGAGCCTGGCAAACATCATCCACATTGGAACACTGCCATTCATCCTCCCTTTTAGTAGTTACCATCATGATGAGATCTCTTCCTGGGTCTAAATGCAGAGACACATTTCCTAATAATTTGGATAATAAATCTCTTCCTAGTAAGGGGAGGGGATATTCTGGCATATACAAGAATTCATATTTCACTTTATGTCCTCCAATTTCACATGTCCTTTCGTAGCAGAACTGGTGCTTTTCTGAATTTCCAGTGGCACTGATCACTTGGATGCACTTTCCGCTCAGGGGGGTGACTGGAGCTGTTACTACTGAATGTTCTGTGCCACTGTCCACCATAAAGGACATATTTTCACCCCCTATCTTTACATCGACCATGGGCTCATGGGGGCCTAGCTGCATTGAGCCTGGTCTGTGTCAGTCACTGTCTTCCATCACAGGCAAAAATGTGCCAGTATCCTTTTTTTCCTTCAAGTCCTGTTTTTTCTTTTCCTTGAGCCTTGGGCACTTATTCTTATAATGCCCTTTCTCTTTACAACACGCACACTGGTCAAACTCTGTCTTCACACCTAAAGTCTTTCTTCTGCTTTCCCTCTGGTTTCATTCCCTGTCTTTCTCTTTCTCTTCCTTGGCTCCCATAGCCACTGCTATGTATCTGCCCCTCCTCTTATCTCGCTCATCTTCCCTCCTTGCTCACTGTCTCTCACTGGCTCTCTGCTCACATACACTTTCCTAGTTAATTGCAACAAATGCATTATATTCATGCCTTCCCAAGTCTCTTGCTTCTGTATTTTCCTTTTAATGTCTGGAGCTGACTGAGTTGCAGAGGTCGTATTGATTAACTGATGGCTATTTGGAACAGCAGGGTCAAATGGTGTGTATATTCTGTAGACCTCACAAAGTCACTTGTAAAATTTCTCAGGGCTCTCACTCATATCCCTGCCAGAAGGGCCGTCTGATAATTTCTCAAACTCTCCTAGCCTATTGGGGTATTGGGATTCCAATCGGGCCACATATTTACTGGAAACTGCTGTCTATATCAAGCATCTGGATTCTGCATATCACCTGGCATTCTAGTGGCATTAATCTTTTTAATTTTTCCTAAAACTCTCTGTATTTCTTTAGAGGTTAACAAAGTTCTACAGTTTTTTACAGTCCTCCCAATTAGGACAATGGGTAGCAAAGATGGAATCAAATAATTGAAGCATTTTGGAGGGGTTTTGGCAGAGGGTAAATGACTCTTTTTCTCTGGACCTAGCCTCTTTTTGTCCTTTTTTAAGTCAAATCTCAAATATTGCACCTTGGTCTGACATATTTCTGCCTTTTCCCAACAGTTTTTTCTAAATCACTATAAAGGAGGAGGTCATATTGTAACCTGTTGGCTCTTAAATTCTTTGAAGATGACCGATGTACACATATTAGCAACATACTTAGAATTTAACCCTTCGATGACAACCAATGTAAACATATTTAAACTTTTCATAACAAACTTGAAACCAACAAACAAGCATACATATTTTTTGATAAATCACTTTCACACATCTTTTGACATACCTAAACCTTCTGGTCTTGTATATCTCTTTTATCTTTCTAACAAGACAAACATGCAAAATTTCTTACATCAAAAATGCATCTCTTTTATTTATAGCTTTTTAATATTTTTTATCTCACTTACTACAGACCTTTTGTCACAAACTTGTCTTTAGCTGTTAAAAATTTAGTGTCCCTTTTTTGTTCTCAGATTGTTACACTTTAAATTTGGTTGGCTGCCAATAGAATGGTAGTGACCTTGAGTTTTTTATCAACAAAGTACAGAAAAGAGCAAGTTAACCCTATAATTATAATTGAAGAATTTTTAATGTGCAAGAAATATTTTAAGCACACCAACTAAACATCAATTCAAACTGAAACACAGATATATTTATCAATTAGCTAAAATTTGTAACTTGATTTCTCTTGTAAAATGTCTTATTTTCTCTGGCTTTGTTTTATGCCCTTCAGAGCTTTTTCAGCTGTTTTAATCCATTACTTATTTTCTCTTTTCAATTCTTTTTGTCCAACTTGAATGTAAGCCCTATTCAATCCTCTCTGAGTCTGACCACAGCATGCACCCTCTGGTGCACTAAAGCCAAGCAGTTCTCATGTTTTTGTCCCCACCTCCTCCGCACCTGTGAATTTAGCAACACAAAAGAGGGGGAAAGTCTAAATTCTCTCGGTCTGGATCTGAAAGGACTGGTTTCTTTCCAGCACCATCCTCTTTCTGATGGAGGACCAGGATATTTCTTTTTTGTTTCCAGGGAACACATATGAAGCCAAGGAGTCATTCTGTGGCACAATTAGAGCCATAAATCAATATAGGGAAATTGATCTGGATGTTCACATCCAAGAGCAATGACTGTTAGCCAGACGGGCCAGATGAGGCCCTCATCTAGGAATCTCTCAATTGGCCAAGCTGGGCAAAGCGTGGGCCATTCTAACTCACAAAATGTTCCAAGTTTTTAGGGTTTCATCTTAATACCATAATTTCCAGTAAAACCTTTCTTAAAATTCTTAAGTATGCATTTCAAAACAGTAGGATGTGATATTTCTGTCCTCACGATTGGCCGATCAGAGTGTTGGTGTGTGTATGGGTACCCTTGTACAGAGACACAAGACAAACAAAGGTGGGGATCACTCGCTCACCTGCCTGGCTGCAGGCCTCTCAGCCACTTTAAGGTCCATTCAGGCTAAGGTGGGCTGTTGCATAAGCTCACCATTGTGCCTTTGTTAAACGTGACCACAGAATCTCGGGACAGACCTCACACAAATTCTGTGACTCAGGGAGGACTCTTTAAGCTCAAGCACTTCCTCCCTTTGTCTTGTTCCACAGTTTATTCCACACACTCTCCTATCCAGAACTCTTTCATTCACACATTTATTCAGAAGTTATCATATTCCCTCCCAGTGACCCCCTAACCATAACCAAAACAAATGAAAGAAGCTACCTCCCCAAATGGCAAAGCACAAGGGCTGATCAGACCCCTGCACTATGTTTGCCCAAAGTTCAGAAAGTGAACCAAAACAAATGGGAGGAGCTATCTTCCCAAATAGCAAAGCACAAGGAGTGATCGGGTCCCTGCGCTGTATTTGCCCAAAGTTACAGAATACAAATTCACAAAGTGAAACCAAAGCAAAACCAAAAGTTAACAACTAGGGGGTTTCCTGGGGCTTCTCACCAAGCAAAGGAAAGAGACAGACGAGACACCAACAGCAGCAGCCCTCCTTCTGTTGTCTTCTTGTCTTGGGTTTGGGTGATCTGCCAGTGGTGAGTGGGTCTCTGTGTCCTGTTGGGGAGCCTAGGAAATTAGTCGCAGGAGTGCGCCATTCCCCTTGAGGAGGTAAAGAGCCGCTCCCTCTGGTGGAGTTCAGGCTGATGCACAAAGGGGCCACTTCTTTCCCGATTCCTGGTCAGGGAACCAAATGTTCCAGAATCGCCAAAAGAAATGCACAAAGACATGGAATTCAGGTAAAAATAACAAAGGTCTTTACTTGCTAGCAAGGCAGGACACCAGAAACTGGTCTGGTCAGAGTCCTCCCCTGAATTCTTTGTCCATCATCTTTTATACTTTTGTCAGTCATTATCTCATCCCTAGTGGTCTTTGTTAAGTAAATAAAGTTCCAATTCCTGTTTAATGGTTAGACACAGGTGGTTTCTGTCACTGATTACAGTCCTAAACACATGACAGTTAAGGCACATATATCACAAGTTTGTTCAAGGACTCCCACTTTGTTCTTCAGAGCTAGGATGTTATCTATAGTGGAGCTACAGATCAAAGGAACTATATAATCTTCACTGGAAACAGCAGAAGCAAAGGGCTAAGGCAAGCTTTTAAAATGATACACTACCTATTTTGCCTCCACAACTACTTTAATAGCTAATCTAATAAATTTACTTTAAAACTTTTCCCTATCAAAATCACAAACCAAAGCCCAAAACACATGATAGGTTTGTTCTAATATCCTAATTCTGTTTCCTGTTGCTATAATAAAATACAGAAGACTAGGTATTTTAAAAAATAAGTTTGTAAGACCAGGGATTTAGCTCAGTGTTTCCGGTGCCTGCCTCGAAAGCGCAAGGTCCCAAATTTGATCTCTGGTACTGAAAAAAAAAAAAAAGGTTTGTTTTGGCTTATGGTTCTGAAAGCTAGAAGAATGGTTATGTCTGATAAGGGCCTTGTGGTTTTTCATAACATAGTAGAAAAGCAGAAGGACAAGTAGGTACATGCATAAGAGACAAAACACAATGATGGACTTATTTTAAAATAATCTGCTCTTGCAGATTATTACAGTGCCAGGAAAGTGAGAAGTTATTTTCTTGAGTATTAATCCAGTTCTATGGGAGCAGCATTAATACCTTTATGAGGGCAGAGCTTTTACGACCAAAACACCTGTCAAATTTCCATCTCTCAATACTGTTACATTGGCCACCACATTTTAACCTGAGTTTTGGAGGAGAAAAACTACATTTAAACCATAGCACAACCTTTTATGGAGACATACCAAGATCCTCCTCTGTATTCACTTACCTCAGTGAAGAACGAACACAGCCTATTTAACTGCAGCTGTATTTCTCATGGTATTTCTCTGAGGCCAAAGACTCTGTGAATAGAGAAAAGGGGAGTAAAACAGTCTCTTCAGAGTTTTTTTGGATTTCAAATGGATAATTAATTTGTCAACATATATTGAGGATCTGTTTTATGCCAGACAATGTGCTAGGTTCAGGACATACTCAGAAGAACAAGACCCAAATCATTCTTCAGGGATTTGAGACTGAAGGACACGCGGAGTAGAAAATTTATGATCCAAATCAAAGCACTAGTACGTATTTAGGCATACAGCTCCTGTAAAAAATATTATATAATAGGACCACACGTCGAGAAGGAGCACCTATAGGGAAGGAGGAGTCAGAAGAGCAGGGACTCTGTTGTGTCTCGAGCAGAATAATGGCTCACCAAAGATGTCCATGTCCTAATTCCTGAAATCTGTTAATATATTAATTTATGTGGCAAAAGGGACTGAGGAGATGTGATGAAGGATCTTGAGACGGGGAGATTATTCTGGATTCTCTAGTTGGCAGGCAAGAGGGGTCAAAAAAGGAGTTGTGGTGACGGCAAAATGACGTGGGCAAGTTGCCTTTGGTTATTCCTTAAAATTTGGGTGGGTCGTGGGGAGACTTGGAAAAAAATTACATCTTCATATGTTTGAAAAGACAAAGCAACTAGACATAGTGTGTGCTGCTCCAAGATGAAAGGATAAGGTTATAAAAAAATATTAAGCACACCATCGGGAAGCACATTCTAGTAATTAGTCTAAAATAATATAAGACAGAATTATGCCTTACATTTCATTCGTTCATCTATTCAACAAATAATCATTTGGACAGTTAGGATATGGCAAGCATGAGGCACAGGATAGTAAATAAAACAGATAAAGGCACTGCCCTCAATGGCGTTCTAATTTCTTTGTGGAATGTTGTACCGTTTACAAATAACGCTGCATAGAAGAACCATTTAACCAAGAAGCAAGCGCCCAGTCGAGATAGCTGAAAAGAGATTTATGAATGGGCAAGGCTGGCTTGGGGCGAACTCCGGCCAGGGAAACTAACGGAAGAAGACACTTCGGAAGCAAGCAGGCAGGAAACCCAGGCTAAGGAATCCCGGGATATCTCCCTGCTTCCCCGCTCCCGCTCTTCTCACCTGTACCCGCCCCTTCTCTGCCCAACCCGCTCCCTCAACTCGCGTCCCTCGGGTCGCGTCATTTCCGAGTCCTTCTCTCGCGAGATCTTCACCATAACCGGGATCGCAGTGGTGGTCTCTTGACAGGCTGAGGTGTTTAGGTTTTGGTTTTGTTGGCACTTTTCAGTAAATCTAGGCTGGGCCGTAAGGCGCCTAGTAGGTTCCAGGGGCCAAGGCCTGGGGTGCTGGCGCGAGCAGGGTGCCCTGGAGAGAGTGCAGCGGGCCCCGGGACCCGGCCGACTGCAGGCCGCCGCGTGCACACCGCGTGCGCGCCGCCTCCGGGTGCGGGCGGGCTGTCAAGATTTGGGCTGGGGACCGGGCGGTGGCCATTAGCTCAGGGACGCGGTCGGGGACTCCCGCTGTTCGGTCTGAACGCTGCCGCCCGGTGCCTGGGAAGGCAGGGCCTGGGTGCGCTGAGCTCGGTTCCGGGCCGTCTGGCCGGCTCCCGGCGAGACCTGAGGTCCGCGGCTGAGCGCGGGGCCGGGTTCTTCTTGCCTGGTCCTGAGCTTAAAAACTTAATTCTCCAGTTATCAGGCGGAGTTGGTTTTCCGCCTTTCCTGTTTCACACGCAGATCTGTTGCTTTATTCAGAGAGGCAGAAGGATAATTAGTTTTATCAAGAGGAGAGTAGACAAATTAATTAAATCCACAATTTTTTTTTCCTAAATCAAGGTATATGAATCAAGAACGATGGAGTATGTGACAGACTCCACCAACCACAGCCTTGGACACATGTGAGTAGCAACCCTTACCAATCTTTTTAAATTCTAAGGTTTTAAATTGAGTCTGTGAAACACTGTCTTAACTGGAAAAGAGTTAAGGGACTCTTTTGTAGAAAGTGGCACTAAAATGAGTTATTTCCATAGAAAATTGAATTCAGTTTTAGTTATAAAGTTTATTCTAGTAAATACAGTGCTTTAAGGAGGTTAAAATAGTGTGTGCATCCTTGTAGATTGACACTGTCCAATATGTTCCCATTAGCCAAATGTGGCTATTTAAATTATAATAAAATCAAGTACTGTTGCTCTGTCATACTAGCCTCATTTCCAGTGCTCAGTGGTTACATAAGGCTAGTGGCTACCATTAGAAAATTGCCAAACTTTTCTTTTGGACAACATTGGTCTCTATTAGTAGTTCTCAAACTTGTTTTGCTCCCAGGGCACCTAGAATAATGATACTGCCATTATTTACACCGAGTCACTAGACATAGTGACTCTCCTGTTCAAAGTATTCTGCTCTGGGTAAATGCTTATATTTTGTCAATCCCTGTGCATTTCTTTCTTTTTTTTTCAATTGCCTTTGTGCAGTCTAATTACTATTGGAAATGATTTAGCTAACAGTTATAAATTTTCCATAGATAAAACTGTAAAGGCATATTTATCAAAGATGTAGTCTTTTTTATTTTAGTTTTTTCTTCTGTTGCCTAACTCATTCATTAAGCTATGATGTCATCTGTAGGTCCTGAGTAAAAACTAAGTTATAAGAGCAACACTGGACATAGTAATCAGAACAAATGGGGACTCAAGTAGATGAGGCAGGTTTTTTGTTGTTGTTGTTGGTACTGGAGATTGAACCCAGGGCCTTTCCACTGAGCTACATCTCTAACCCTCACCCCTCTTTTTTCTTTCTTTTTTTTTTTTACTTTTTATTTTGAGGCAGGATCTTGCTAAGTTTCCTGGGCTGGGCTTGAACTTGAGATCGAGATCCTCTTGCCTTAGAGAGCTGGAATTTCCCTTGTGTTCTACCATGACCAATTTATCTTCTGAAGATCGTTTCTATGTCTTTTTTTTTTGACAGGGCCTGGCTGTGTAGTTCAGGCTAGCCTTGAGCTGTGTAGCCTATACTGGCCTCTAAGTGATCCTGCCTCAGCCTCTTGAGTGTTGGGATTATAGGTATGGGCCACCTTGCCTGGCTGTATGTCACCTTTTTTTTTAAGCTAGAAATATTATGGGCTAACTTAAAGGTTTTTGTTTGCTTGATAGTTTTTTTTTTTTACTTAACTAGTATGTTTATTAAATATAATTTTAAAAAATTATTGTCTTTATTCAAGACTGTGCTGTGAGTGTGGTGTCCCAATTAGTCCAAATCCTGCCAATATATGTGTGGCCTGTTTGCGAAGTAAAGTAGACATCAGTCAAGGTATTCCAAAACAAGTGTCGATTTCTTTCTGCAAGCAATGTCAAAGGTACAGTGCATTACCGTTTTACCCTACTTAAAGTTGTGATTTATAAAAAGAGAGTCACTGGAGTGTGATAACGATTGTGGCAAGAGCCATAGAATGAAGTTTATGTAGTGGAGATGTAATTTTTATTTTTGTTGATATTGCCAAAGATTTTGGAATTTTTAAAGATAGAATATTGTACTTTTCTAGTTTGTCCTACTAATATGGTAAAGAAAGTATAAAGGTGTTTGGATTCTTTTTTTGTTAAAGGATTTCATAGGTTTGATGTATGTAACTGGAAAATAGGAGTCGATGTTTGTAAGTGTAAATGAGAACAATTTATGAAGGACATATTAGTGTTATTACATAAATTTTTTATCAGTTATTAGAAGATGTGTGTTATAAAAAGCACCTTATGTTTTAAGTAACTTAGTAATATGTTTTAAAAATTAAGGTTCACAAGTGTCTCAGTCACTTTTTTGTCACTGATGCAGTACCTGACAACTGCAAATTAAAGGAAGAGAGATTTATTTTGGCTCACATTATTCGTCCATGGTCAGCTGGCTCCAAGGCAGGGCTTCATGGCAGAGGAGCATGGTGGAGGAGAAGCTGCCCACCTCTGCTCATGTTAAGGTGGTGGGGAAGCAAAGTGAGCCAGGGGAAGGGGGTGGGGAGAGATGGCCTTCCAGGCCATTCCCCAATGACTAGGCTCCAACCACCAACATCATATTTAGCTGGAAACTCATCCACTGATGGTCCAATCACCTCCCCAAAGCTCCATTTTTGAGTGGATGAGGCTTTCAGGGAACACCTAGATATAAACCATAACAACAAGAAATTAAAATGACTGTAATGGATGGAAAAGAAATGCAGTAAATCATATCTGGAATGGTGTGAAATAAAAATTGAGTTTGAAAGCAGAAGACTTTTGAAAGTTGATGTTTTATTCCCTCTTTATTCCTTTAGTTGTTGGCATAAGCAACTTACATTTGGTAGGCCAGTGAATAACAAAAAACTGGTCTGTAAGTATAAAATTATATGCCTGGGATTTCCCAACTGGGTTAGTAATGTAGTACTGTATATGAGGAAGTAGAGAATTTGATAGTTAAACCTCTGGAAGAATGGTTATATATATATACATGTATACAAACGCATGACATTTTGTGTAGTATTTTAGAGCATTTACAGTGTGCAAACTTGGGAACTGTGAAGCTTAATTTGTTATAAATATTTGTTATT